CATGTGCAAGAGTCAAAGAAAAATACTTGAGTTGCCAAGGTGAAACCCATCACGCCAATAAAGAGCAAAAAGCCTCTCTTCAATCTTTGGATCCATGAATTCTATACGTAAATAAAATAATTATTGCTTTCATAAAATGTCTGTTTGCCACTGACAGAGAGAAAACCGAACCAGTATGTCCTACAATAGCCTTTAAATAACTAAGGAGAAAGATCAAAATAAAAATAAATCTTGACTAGATTTATAGGTGCACGTTGATTAGTTCTTGTTTTTTCCTTCAAATAAACAATACCTGAAAAAAATGAAAAGGGAATGTTGAGACCAGATATCTTGTAATAGATGGGTTTTCTCTGACATACAGTATGGTATAATGCCAAAAAAATAATGCTGGCCCATCATTCGTGAGGCTTGGCAGAAAGTGGAGCCCAGAAAAAGCGAAGGGGATTTTTCAGGATGCAGAATGGTGCAACAACTTGGATTTGAACAAAGTACCATTTTTTTAAACTGTACTTCTCACAGTTTTATGTTGTTGCATTTTGTTGTTTTCCCCACACAACTGTTTCTTTGCTTCCACTGGTAACAATATTTTGATTCAAATATTCTAATATTAAAACCAAACATGGTTCATCTGGATATGATTCTGGTGCTGTCTAATGATAAGCCACGTCTTATAGGAATTTAATTACACACACTGCGATGTAACTGGAGTTGTTTACCCACTAAGCCACCACTTCCATTTCGTACCTCACATCATTAGTAGAAACGCCACTCAGGAAAACCAAGACATTATTTTTAAAAGAGTAAAAGTCTCATCTTTCTATAAACGCCCTATTTAATGAAAACATCTTCATTTCCCTCAAGCAGCATTTTATCTAAGATGCACATGGCTAGGTGAATAAAAATACCTGTGAAAGGAAAGAAGATTCCCATCAAAGCTGTTGAAATCTGATTTCATTTCAGATTCTAGAACTCATGTTGTTTTCTGTTTAAATAGATTTGGTCTGTCAATTTCCCGACCTGCTGTGCCATCAGCCTGTATGGACTGCTGTGGCCAACATGGGGGCTGTACAGACAAATATTATTACGGACCGGTAATCGAATTGAACAGGTTTACATTGGAATAGATTTACAACATCATGATCTCTGACATACTGCATGGGACTGAAACCCCTCTCCATCCATAAAGATACATTTAAGACAGTATCATTCTCTCCAGGCTGAGAAGGTAAGCCTTGAGCCAAGGAGATGGCCAAACATAACTGTGCATTTATATGCAGGGTGTAATGCAGTATTTCACTGTATTTTTTTAAGGACAGAAGAAAAAGAGTATTCCATATTTACTCATAACTATCATCTCCTTTCTATTTGGGGGAAGGGGCGTAGAGATATTTTTCCACCAAAGTGGGCACAAGGAAGTAAAGGAAAATAAATTATTTTTTGAGTATATCAGCAACAGCAGCAATTCCCTTGAAAACAGTCCCTCTAAAGGCTTGATAACAGCAACTGAAGAGGTGTGAATTATAGATAAGCACCCGTCCTATTTACTTTCACCAACAATGTTTAATTAAACACAGTTCACACCTTTTCAGTCACTCTAACCACCCTTCAAGATTGCTCCTTCTTGAAAACACAATGGGGAAAATTATTTAGGGGAAAATATGTTTTCTACTTCCTCCTTAAAACTGGAAGGGCAAATAGGTGAGTACACTAGTAGTAAAATCAAACTGCTCAAAAAATCCTATTTACCTGGACATGGAGGCGTATCTCCATGTAGTTTAGTTTTTAACAATAAAATCCAAATCTAGGACATACCCATTCAAAGTGTTAATTGATACATTACTTTTATAACATTTTTAAAACATTGATTTGCTTTTGGAAAATAATGATTCCTCAAGTCCAAACTCTAAATTAAGCCTTTTCAAATGAGCGTAAGTTTGGTTTGAGTCTCTATAGCTCAACTAAGTGGCAATATAAAGATAATTAAGACCAAAAATATTGTCAATCACTTGTTACACTCTGAAATATGTTTTGTTTGCTACTCTGCTATGGGGTTTAAGGCAATTACTAAGGTAATGTTTCCACCACAAGAAAGTCAGCTATCACCACTGTCCTAACTCAGAGGAAAACTCTTTGTCATATGGGTTGGGTTGTGATCATTGGATTATTATTCATATGTTTTCCTTTGTTAAAATTGTTATCCTTTTAGTATCTTCCACATAAGCTTTATTCTAGCAAGAGAAACCATATCTGTCATTTTCACTGTGGCATCACTGGAGCCTAGAATAGTGCTTGGCACATGAGAGGAACTTAATAAATATTTAGGAAATGGATTATAAATGCAAAACGTGTTCACTGTGGAAAAATCCTAACAGTGCCAAAAGCTATAGAGTAAACAAGTACTCCCTACCCTGACTTTTTTTCACTAGTGTTAACACTGGTACCAATCTTTATCCTTCCTTCTGTTTCTCCATGCATATACCATCATAATGTGCGTGTATTAATATAAATTATTACAGTACAAATTTGTATAAAATTTTTATTTAATATAAATTTAATAGCATATTTTATATAAAATATATTTATATGTAAACTGAATCATCCTACTAGGCAATTTGTTTTCTTTTTTTAATTATTGAATTAAAGTTGATTTACAATGTTGTGTTAGTTTCAGGTGTACAGCAAACTGATTCAGTTATACATACATACACACACACACACACACACACACACACACACATATATCTTTTTCGGATTCTTTTCTATTATAGGCTATTACAAGATATTGAATATAGTTCCCTGTGCTATAGAGTAGGTCCTTGTTGTTTATTTATTTTATATATAGTAGTGTGTATCTGTTAATCTCAAACTCCTAATTTATCCCTCCCCCCTCAATTTCCCCTTTGGCAACCACAGGTTTGTTTTCTGTGTCTGTGAGTCTATTTCTGTTTTGTAAATAAGTTCATTTGTGTCATTTTTTTAGATTCCACATATAAGTGATATATATGGTATTTGTCTTTCTCTGTCTGCCTTACTTCACTTAGTATGATAATCTCTAGGTCCATCCACGTTGCTGCAGGCAATCTGTTTTTTATTTTATTTTTTTACTTGGCAAATATCTTGGTCCTCTTTCCGTAAGACTTTCATGATAAAGTTACACGCTTGTTTACAATTATTTTTCAAGTTGAGGATGAGAAGACTTTGGGAGAATCTTCTTAGTTCCTAGCCAGTGGAGGAGTTAATCTTAGTGGACAAGAGAAAAATAGCATGAATTCCACGTACCCAAATACAATCGGCTTCATTAATCTTCCTATGACATGGTTCACAGTAAAAATCTTGGAATAAGAACAAGCCAGGAAAAATTATGAGATCTGGTGATGCCATGCCTAATTGAAGCTCTGGTTCATTCATGAGGAATAAATACTTGGATCTACTTGGATTCTGAAGTTAAAAAACAGGTGATCTCGGGACTGCCCTGGTGGTGCAGTAGTTAGGAATACACCTGCCAGTTCAGGGAACACGGGTTCGAGCCCTGGTCCGGGAAGATCCCACATATGGAGGAACTAAGCCCGTATGCCACAACTACTAAGCCTGCGCTCTAGAGCCCGCGAGCCACAGCAACTGAAGCCCACGCACCTAGGGCCTGTGCTCCACAACGAGAGAAGTCACCACAATGAGAGGCCCGCGCACCATGGCGAGGAGTGGCCCCAGCTCGCAGCAACTAGAGAAAACCCACGCACAGCAATGAAGACCCAACGCAGCCAAAAATAAATAAATAAATAAAGTTACTAAAAAAAAAAAAAAAAAAAAAGCCTGTAAAAAAAATAGGTGATCTCCAGTAACAACAAATTATACAAACTCGTAAGGCCGACCCCAGGAACAAGATACAGTCTATGACTCAACAGAAACAGTACATTTAAATATTTAATTTACCTCATATTCTTTCAAACTTCAATGACCGTATTTCCATTTTGTTACTGTATAAAATTATCATGTTTATTTTAAACTCTGGCAAATTTTCTGAAGAGAAGGCAACAGTGAAACCTAAATGCAGTATATAAAATGCACATCTACAAAGCACATACATATACAGAAATATATTAAAAACAAACCCAAAACTAAACCTAGGCCTCCCACAGAAAAGAACAATTTTTCTCCATCTCCAAGCTAAAATGTTAGTTTCACTAGACATACTGAAATATACAAAGATTTCAGGAACTTTGATTTAGGTGGGGGACTTGAGTGAATTCTAGAATCTATTTGGGTTCAGTTCCTGGCTCTACCCTCATCTGCTGTGGGAACTTAGGCAATTCATTTAGCACGGAATACATGCTCATTGTTATTATTTTGTGTTTGTTGTTGTTATCCTCAACTGAAAGCAACAATTTTAATATCATTGTTACAAACTCTTTATAATAGAAGATAAGTCCCAAAGATAAGATAAGAATAAAGAGTACTTTAAACGTAAGATGAATTTTTAAAAAAGAAAGAAAGAAAACGGTACCCATATGAAGTGATGGATGTGTTAATTACCTTGATTATGGCAATTATTTCAAAATATATATTAATGAAATACAGGTCATCTACCTTAAAAATACACAATTTTTATTTGTTAGTTATACCTCAGTAAAGATGGTGGGGGGATCCCTCTGTAGACCTAGTAGTGAAAAGAAAGCAAAAAGACAATGACAGTAGCCTCTTGGCTACCCTTCATCCTTTGCCTTCTGCAAACAGTAAAGATGAAAAGAAACCGAACTGCCAAGCATACCTGGTGGGTTTAGCTACACATCAGATGTGTCCTACCTTGTCCCTTCCTGTTGATGTCAAGCAGTTAGCCACGAGAGATCAGCAAGTCCAGGTATAAAGGAGGAGTATTCTGCTCTCAGATTCAGGATACTTACTGTGACCCCAGAGTTGCCTGGTTTCTCTAATATTTTTGTAATTCCCTGTATATCCCCCGCACCCCCAGCCTGAAGTACAGGAGCAGTAGCACACAGCCTTACCTTCTTTGAGCATGCCCACTTTTAAACACTTCATGAAGCGGCAAGCCTGGCAGGATTTACGTCTGCGCTTTGTGATTTCACATTCATTCGTGGCAGGGCAGCTATATTCTATATTACCTAAAACACAGAGTTTAAGAAAAGAAGCTGTTAGATTTGCAAGACCCAGGCAATCCTAGCATTCCCCAAGGCAACACCAACTCTGCTACTCCTGCCGTCCTCCCTCAAAAAAAAGTCAACAGGAGCCATGAGGATGTCACAAATATCATGGAGCCAGATGCTCGCTATAACCACTGAAGATGCATCAAACAATGAGAAGATACATGGTGAAGCTCTTCAAAAGATTAAGCTTAGAATCAGCCTTTAAAATTATGCTTCATCCACTCATACAAAGTAGCGGTCTTCCAGAATTTGAGGATCCAAAAGAAATCTCCCAGCAGATTATTTCTATAAAGACACCAACATCAAAACCGTATTACAGGGCTTCCCTGGTGGCGCAGTGGTTGAGAGTCCGCCTGCCGATGCAGGGGACATGGGTTTGTGCCCCGGTCTGGGAAGATTCCACATGCCGTGGAGCGGCTGGGCCCGTGAGCCATGGCCGCTGAGCCTGCGCATCCGGAGCCTGTGCTCCGCAACGGGGGAGGCCACAGCAGTGAGAGTCCCGCATACGGCAAAAAACCCCAAAACAAAACAAACAAAAAAAAAGTATTACAGTATCATCCATCCTGGATTTCTTTTGGTTACTAATGCCCTGATGCATCAGACTTTTTGTCTCTCTGACACTGAACAGTACAAATCTCACTGTGAAAAATGATCAGCAGGCTAATTTGGGACTGCGCAGTAAGCTCCTTGAGGGCAGGGACTGAAGTTACATGGTTCTCGCTTCATCACTTACCAGAGCCTTACAATACAATTTTACTCTTGGAAAATGTTTACCGATGATGATGATCACCATCACCACCATCACCACCATTACCACCATCACCACCATCATTACCATCATCACCACCATCACTACCATCATCACCACCATCACCACCATCATTAACATCATCACCACCATCACCACCATCATTACCACCATCACCACCATCATTACCATCATCACCACCATCACCACCATCACCACCATCATTACCATCATCACCACCATCACCACCATCATTACCATCATCATCACCATCACCACCATCATTACCATCATCACCATCACCACCATCATTACCATCATCACCACCATCACCACCATCACCACCATCATTACCATCATCACCATCATCACCACCATCACCACCATCATTACCATCATCATCACCATCACCACCATCATTACCATCATCACCACCACCACCATCATTACCATCATCACCACCATCACCATCATCACCACCATCATTACCATCACCACCATCATCACCACCATCATCACCATCATCACCATCATCACCATCATCACCACCATCACCACCATCATTACCATCATCACCATCATCACCACCATCACCACCATCATTACCATCATCACCATCACCACCATCATTACCATTATCACCATCACCACCATCATTACCATCATCACCACCATCATTACCATCACCACCATCATCACCACCATCATCACCACCATCACCACCACCATCACCACCATCATTACCATCATCACCATCACCACCATCATTACCATCAGCATCACCATCACCATCACCATCTTCATTACAACCATCATGACCACCATCATCACCGTCATCATCACCATGTTTATTAAATTACTTGCATAATGAATTCCAAACACTCAAGCTGCATGGAAGTGTTATAAATAAAAATAAACTGCTATGAAATTATATTTTTAATATTACAGTCTACATCATTTACGTTAGTAACAACAGATTTGAAGTGATAAGGATGTCGCCAGAAGATCCAAACTTTAACTTGCAATTTTTCAGTTAGTGCCAAAGACTATGTGTGGGAAGTGCTCTGGGGCTGCCTACAGCTTTGTAGAGAAGCTGACTTTAATATAAAGCCTCTCTCCCCTATCAGCTCTGTCACATAGTGCTTGAAGGTCTTTCGTTACTTCCTAACCCTTTCCCCTTGTGATTAAGTGCATTAGTATCTTAATGAAAATGCATTCTGTTTATTGCCCTCTTGGGAAGGGGGAGGTCATCAGACCAAATGCATAAATTGTCATCAGAGACGGTCCGAGCATAATTGCAATTTTGCTGCTCCATGTTTGCAATACCCAGGGTCCATCCAAGTCCCCTGAAACATGCACAGATTCTAGTAATTAGCATAGAGTCTGCCTGGGACCACAGCACTGATGAAATATTTCAGAGTTAATCACACTTTGTAAACACTGATTTATATTGACTACCTTTCTCCAGACTGATGTCTCCTCATTAAATATCACATTAGTGGATTGCAGGATTGTAGAAAGACTCAACTACTCAGCAACTGCTAATTCAACAGGAAGTAATACCTAACCACTCATAACTACGGGGAACTGGTTAAGTATGCATGACTTCAAAAAAAAAAAAAAGCCTGTGCATTATAACTTAAGATAATCCTATCAAAATTGACTAAATTAGCATTCTAATTCAGGGCATTTATAATAATAAAAGCAACTACTTTTTAACATAATAGGTGAAATATTAAGAGTAATATTAATTGCATCAACAGAAGCACACACCATCACCTTCCTCAGAGATATTACTGTGTTACTGTATTATTACACTCACAGAAAACCAAGGATAAGTCAAAGGAACCAAACTGGCTGGGTCACGGCTGAGAATAAAAGGATTTAGAATCTGAACTTTAGATGAATAATTTTTCACTGTGATTTTCACTGAAAATTTATTTTGCATCAAGAGAGTGTTGCTAGCCATTTTCTAGGGGTTAATTAGTATTCTACTACCAGATCCTTCCACTCCACATGGCTCTCCTTATACTTACTTAAAAAGAAACCCAAGCCTCTGCTTTCTTAGGAAGAGCGGAACAATAACTAGTTAGAAAGGGAAAAAAAAAATGTTTTCCGAACAGCATTACTTCCCTTTTTTTGTTCCTCAAAAGTCAATACAAAGTCATCATTTGTTCACTTTCTAGTATCAAGGCATGAGCACAAGTTCCCCTGCCCCATCCCTTTTAACCCAGTGCTGGAAACTACTGGGATGACCCAACATCACACACACACAAAATAATCACCTTTCTTTTCAAACTAGTTCCTCTTCTTCTTTGAAAATTATATCCTCATCCTTCTCAACAAGGCCCTCTGACAGGCCCCTAAATGAGGCCTGTGTGAGCTCACACCTGGACTATGGTAGTTATCTCCTAACTGGGCATTTTGCCTCCGTCTTGTCCCCCTCTAATCCACACTGCATACCACGATCATATTGCTCCTCCTATGATGTTTTTGATAATGTCGTTAACTCAACTTTTAAAAAAATCAATAGAGGGCTTCCCTGGTGGTGCAGTGGTTGAGAGTCCGCCTGCCGATGCAGGGGACGCGGGTTCGTGCCCCAGTCCGGGAGGATCCCACATGCCGCGGAGCGGCTGGGCCTGTGAGCTGTGGCCGCTGAGCCTGCGTGTCTGGAGCCTGTGCTCCGCAACGGGAGAGGCCACAGCAGTGAGAGGCCCGCGTACCGCAAAAAAAACAAAAAACAAAAAAAAAAACAATAGACTCCTATGGCCTCTGGAATAAACATAAAATATTCACCTAGCCAACAAAGTCCCTGCCCCATGTGACTCTCATCCACTTTTCCAGCAACATTACAATGATTACCTTATATGAACTTCCTGATGCACCGATTTGATTTATTCAGTTTTTGCTGTGTCCTTCAGACGTCCCTCTGAGGATGATCTATCTTTGCCCCTCTTTTCTTCTTAAAATTACTTCCAAGGCTCAACGTTCAACTCAAATTCCATTCAAATCTTTCATGAAAACTTCTCAAACCACCCTAGCAGAAAATGATTTCTTGGTTCTCATATCTTTTCGGGTACTCTCATCATATACAGACGTGCCAGATTCTTTTATACCTTTTCACGTGCATATTATCCATTAGATGGTGAGACCCTGGAGGCAAGGATTATTGCTTATGCAGAATAGAAATCCTCCACCCAAAAGTAGTATATAAGTAAAATGATACACTTTAAATTATGAGATATTTTTTGGTATCTCAAGGTCATTTTCTGAACATCAATTATGATGCTGTCACATAGTACTGTCCACAAGGTCAAATGAGCTAGATGGCCTATTAGGAAGCAAAATGAAGCACACTAGGAAAACCATTCCACAAATCAAATAAAAAAAAAAAAGTAGAAGAAAATCTAGTTAATTTTTCAACGCCTTACAAAAATACCTTTGACAAAAATGGAAATCCATGGCAAAACCAGGAGAGCTTATCAAGGAGAAGATAGAAAAATACAAAGGTTTCTGGGGAGTTAAATGTGAAAAGAGAAAAAAACCCAAAACAAAACTGTAAGAAGTTTTAAAGGAAATAAGAGTACATCTTGATATAAATAAGAAGAAAAATAATATAAAATATGAAAATACAGATAGGTGGCACTAAGAGAGCTATTTAATATTTATCTTATCATAACACTTACTATTATTTGCAAAATGGGTGCCCTAAGAATTGGAGCCACGTTGCAGAAAACACTCAGGAGTGATTCAATTATAGCAGCTGAATCTATAGATGCCCCTTCTCTGAACTACTGTCTAAAGATTTCTATATTTCTTCAGAAACAGAAGGGAAATTGTCAAATTGCCATACGAGGATTTTAGATCACATATAAAGAAGAATTCCAGTTTCCTTTCTAACCACTACATTCTATAATTCTTCAATGACAACGAGAAATGTAAAGGCAGAAGAATTTTTAATAGTGCCTTAGGATGAGTTCCTGAGGGCAGAGTTCTGTCTCATTTACAGCTGAATCCTCAACGCTTATCAATAAGCCTACCATTTTGTACATGTGCAGGGCTGGGAAAGAAAGAGGAAGTCCCTGGCCCTTAAGGAATCTACAGTTTTACAAGGAGACAAGACATGTCAACAAATCACAATACAGCTGAGCGTGTGCTGCAACGGCTCTGGATTCAAGTCAGCACCAGACACCCATGTACACAGATGCAT